CGTTGAATCTTTTTCTGGAGCCGCCTTGCTTCCCTCAGATCGTAAATTGATCTTGTGCGTCTGTATCGTCGTTCAGCACGCCTTCGTATAGCTCGTAATTTTTCCAGTTCGATGTCAAACTGTGTTATTTCAGACGAAAATGGTAATTACATTTGGACGCTTGCATAGCTTCCGCTATGGTATTTTCCAGGCTGCAGGCGAGGCCTTCTTGGCAAGCGTTCTCAACACGCGATGCAAACATCGACCAGTCAGTGCCAATTGCAACACCGGAAGAGAAATTTTTTATCATACCATCGATCGTCACGTAGGTAGGTATGTGATCACTCCCTTGAGTCGCAATATCGCAAAACCACTTAACTTTGTGAGAGAAGCACCGTGGCACCAATGTCAGGTCAAAACAATTGCCATACGTGAGACCCCGCAGATATGTGGGGGTACCATCGTTCATGATGGAAAGGTCGTAATCGGAAGCGAATGTAATGTTCCGGCCCCTGGCATTCATCCTAGTGCTCCCCCAAAGCATGTGATGGGCGTTGAAGTCACCGGTGATGATCCAAGGCCCATCGGTTCTCATTAGGATGTCTTTTAATCTGTCGCAGTCAAATCGCGATGACGGAGATATATATCCACCAATAAGCGTGAACGAAACTGCATTCTTTTTACACGAAGACACACGTACTGATTGTCGTCATTTGAACTTATTGGGTGCGAAAGATAAGTCAAGTCTGTGCGAATGTAAACAATTACTTTGCTTCGTCCTTCGCAAGCGGCTGAACAAAAAGCTTCATAACCGGACAATCTATAAGGGTTCGCTTGATGCTGCTTCCCTTTGAAGTGCAGGCCACTCTGTCGCAGTTAGGGTATGCTCACTGGCTTTTTCCTTTACAGCCTTTCCCACGGCATGTGGTCTGGGAGGCAAAGGAGGTGGTACTGATGAGGGATCACGCAAACGTGTCGAGGAGGTAGCGGGCGTCCTCGAAGACCGACGTCGACGTGAACGACGCCTTCTGACTTTAGCTGCGGCTTCTCGATGAGATGAGTGATCGCGCACCATCTCCTTCAAGATGGCAATTTCCTTCTGAATCCGCGGGCAGTCCTTCGATGTGGCTTCATGGGATCCATTTCAATTAGAGCATTTCTTGACAGTTGCGACGCACTTATCCGCTTCATGGTGCTCGGCGCAGCGGTGGCATACCACCGAATTCTCACAGACGCTGCTCACATGTCCAAGTTTCATGCATTTACGGCACTGGAGAGGCTTTGGAATGAAAGGCCGCACAGCATGTCTGAAGTACCCCACCTTCACATGAGAGGGGAGTGATGTGCTCTTAAACGCAATCTTCACACAGCGAGACTTGCCTAGCCGGGTGACATCAACAATTGGAGTATCAGTTGTTGACTTGACAAGAAGTTGTAAGTCATTATTGGAAATAGAGACATCAATGTCGTAGATCACGCCGGTTACTACATCACATCCCAAGGGAACATGAGAGCGAGCGCACCTTGTTGCCGTCCAAGTCAGTTACACTGCGCAGAACGCCCAACGCACTTGCGTGCAAAACGTCCACAGCCAGTATATTCTTTCTGGCGTTCACTCTTATGTCCGTGATCTCATTTGGCAAAGAGCGTTTCCAGAGACCTCAACACAGACTGTCTGTTAAGGCGTTTCATGCTGACGGTAGGAAGTGCAGGCAGAAACAGGATGGTACAGGTGTTCGATTTCGGCGCTTCACTTACAGTTTGAATAGTTGAGGATGAGGATGTCCTCATCCTCAACTCTTGCTCAATCTGCTTGAGAGAACGTACAGAAATGTATATAGAACACATTGTTGCACTTTGCTCATAAATAATGAAATAATCAAGTACAGACAAAACACAAAACTATGTGTAAGGCTTAGTACATGGTCAATACTATTGTTCTAGATGTTGCAAATATTTTTTGAGTGCGCTCGAGAAAGCCCTAGAATCTTTAATCTGAAGTCGTATGTTATTCCACACTTTATCTCCAACGAACGGTAGTAAGCGTTCGCCATACACGTTTTTAGTAGGTGGAAGATTAAAATTCCGCAATGTCATGCATCTAGTGACGCGGGACGAGGAAGAAAAGATACATACGTCGAAAGGTACACTGTGTGCAATAACATTACTGATGGTGACTGCGGTTTTATGCTGCCGTAAGTAATCAAAAGGTAGAATTTTCAACTTGTGAAACAAAGACGCAGTGGGTTCATTATATGCCGCATAATCTATTATTCTAAGTGCACGCTTTTGTAATATTCGGATGGGATAAATGTAAGTTTTAAAGATCCATGCCCATGAGTCTAAGCAGTATGATAGATGACTACGAACAAACGAAAAATAAAGGACTCTGAGAATGTTTCTGCTAAAATAGTTTCTAGCAGCCAGTAGCATACTGCAGCCAGATGCTAGCTTAGTACAAACAGGAATTAATTTGTTTTTTCCAGTGTAATTGGCTGTCGAACACTACACCGAAATATTTAAATTCTTTTACATGCTCAAGTTGGCAGTTGTTCATTGTAAGTCGAAATGACTCACAGTTTACATTTCGGTAACGGGAGTGAAAAATTATGTATTTGGTTTTCTTTGCATTGAGTGTTAATTTGTTCACTGTAAACCACTTACAAATATTTTCTAGTTCTTCATTAGCTCTACATTCTAGATCGGCTATGTTATCGGTGGTAAATTTTAAAGCTGTGTCATCAGCGTACATTAGCAACTCGGCCGATTTGAGTATGCATGGCAAATCATTTACGTATAGTGAGAATAACAATGGCCTCAGGACCGACCCCTGAGGTACCCCTGCCTTTATGTTTAATAATGACGACGTAAGATCTTGCATGTTGACCATTTGATAACGTCCATCAATGTAGTTAGAAAAGAGGCTAAAAACTTTGCCGCGGAGTCCATAGTGTTTTAATTTCATAAGCAGAATATTATGGTCAACGGTATTGAATGCCTTTTTTAAATCAATGAACACAACTGACACAAGAAGGTTGTTGTGCAGTGCTGAATTAATCTTCTGTGATAACAATAACACAGCTGTTGATGTGCAATGGTGTGATCTAAATTCATGCTGCTCCGGGCAAAAAGCATTATATTTTTCTAAAAATAGGCGCATTCATTTTCCAAGAATATTTTCGAATATGGTGTTTATAATGCTCAACACAGATATGGACCGATAGCTTGAAGGATCAGAGCGATCGCCTTCTTTATATAGCGGCACAACTTTGGCGTTTTTTAAACAAGATGGGTACGTCGACGTACGCAAGCAATGGTTAAATACGTGGCACAAGATGGAACTCAAAATATCAATGTTATCTTTCGCTAAGTGAGCAGTAATACCATCTATTCCACTGGCTTTGTTAGTGCTTATATTGGCAACAGTGTCATGAATTTCATCCTCACTGATGTATTGAAGAGCGAACGTATTTAATAATGAGGTTGAAAAACATTTCATTTCTCTACGAGGAAATTTCGCGCCTAAGGTAGAGCCAATTTCAGTAAAGAATAGATTAAATTTATTAAGTATACGCGCATCGACTACGTCAGGTGATACACGCTGTGTTTGTTCTTTACCGACAACTTCTTTTACAATTTGCCACGTTTTCTTTGAATCGCCTTGTGCTTGGAAAATGAGCCGAGAATAATACACCTTTTTTTGTTGCCTCATAAGATTCACGGATTGGTTTCCTAACAGTTTGAATTGACCTAAATATTATTCATTTTCTATGTGCTGTCTCCACTTGCGGTACCAGAAGTCTATCTTCCTCAGCAATGCAAGGATCTCTGTTGTCATCCAAGGAGTTAGCGCGGTGTCATATGAGCGTGCGGACACGTTTGAACGACTGCATTCAATGGCATGGGGAAGGACTTTTGTTATGTTCTGTAATTCAAAGTTGGCGTCATCGTCATACAATGTTTCAAATTCGTTGGAGAGAATGTGATTCCGTAATAATTTGTAATTGATTTTGCTTGTATTGCTGGTAAATTGTGCATTCTTGTTTGGAGTTTTCCTTATGGAAACAAAGGTAGAAAGGTGATCTTCTATCGGTTCATTATAAACACCAGCATTCACTTTTTCGATGATACGTTAGTGAAGATGTGATCAATTGTTGTTGCCGACGTACTGGTTACTCTCGTAGGTAACCATTGGAGAGCTGATCATGGTGAAAAGTGACTATTTGCATAGCACGCTAGTTTTTACATATCTTTCTTTGTAACAGTTACACCTTAGAACAAATACGTTCGCCTCCTATGAGACACTTTGAAGTAAATGAGAAGGCATATTGCTGTCGCTCCTAATTTGAATGCTCCGAAGTGTCTGAGGGTAAGGACTGAACAAGTGTCTCCTAGCGTAGCAGCTCGATGCAATATGCGTACCTTTTGGCCTAAGACATACGCATCGGAGCGATATGAATAAACTAACCACTCCCCTATCGTGCAAGTAACAGCGTTTTCAAACCATTGGAGAGCTGATCATGGTGTAAAGTGACTATTTGTTTAGCACGCCAGTTTTTACATATCTTTCTTCGTAACAGTTTTACCTCAGAACAAATACGTAGCGTTGTGTCATTGCACCTCTTGTGGCATTCGCTCAAGTTGTAAAAGCTGTAACATTTTCCTCGCAGGAGCACGATGCATCTGTCATCTCGCCAATGTCATCGTCAACGACAACCAGCCGCATTGAGCGTTTTGTCGCGCACACAATCGCATCATACACGCACTACTGCCCACCTTTTATAGACGTGTTTCGCAATCTGCCTTCCGGAAAGGCATCAAGGAACACCAAGACAATGCTATACAGTCAGCAACATGCGCAATTACTTACATGATAATGATTCTCGCAGTTCATCAAATCTAAATCTTTTCAAATGGGAAGGGTAGGAAGGAAGACTGCAGCCCTTGCTACTGTGGTCTTTTTTCCTGCCGCCATCAAGGAGTATGAAACAACGCTTTAAAAAAAAATGCATGCCACTCACATGATGGCCGTGTGGAAGGGCGTAAGGTCGGCGCCGATCCGCATCTGAATGCGCCCATCGGCGCCGCCGTCGCCGGCAGCCCTACGGGAGGAGGACGCAGCCACGGCCGACGACGTCGAAGGCGACGGCGTGCTGGACTTGGTCGAGGGCTTCTCCGGGGAACCTGCGGCCGTCGCTGCTGGCAAGCCACCGCGCTGGTCGGCCACGCAGCAGCAGCGTTCGTCTCGCCTGCGGGCTGCGGACACCAACCAGTTACCGAGACTTTTGTAACGCTTTACGCGACGGTGCGTTTGTTCTCAACGCAGGTAACAGCGCATTATCATATAGACTCTTTAGGTGAACTTCGAGCAGTCTTACCCAACAGAAGACGTCTACTTGCTCGACGAGTCACGCAGGTTGCAAGTGGCTCGCGTTCGCTCTCATCGTCTGCTATGTTCCCATCCATTGTGCCGAGAATATAGTCAGCGTTCAAACACAGCGCGGTGGTCAAAGAAAAATACGGGACGCACCTGAAAATTTTGAACCTCGAGACAGCTCACTTTCACAGCCTTTTTTAACAATATTCACGCATTATGCACAAATCTCACAGCAGCCAATTGTACTAGATTCCTCGCGAGTGTTCAAGGACGTAATTTCAAACTAATGCTCCATTTCATGCGGTTCCCTTTGAAGCCACGCACTGAGACACCCTTGGGACGAGGTAGCAGAAAAAACGATTCTCTGTTTTCTTTTCTCAAGCCTAGCGCTCATTAATGAAAGCAATTCACTGAAATAAAAGCTGTTTTTTCGACCATTAGCGACAATTTAACCGAAGATCACTAACCGCAGCACGTCGGCTCACATTCCGGGGCGAATTATCCGCAACAAAGACAGAACTTGCATGGAGTCTCAGCGAAACATTTGAATGTTCCAGTGACCGCAAGCACGAAAAAGGGTAGTTTAGAGTGGAATTTGAATAATAGCGAAGTCGTTAAAAAGCACGAATACACGAAGCGTACTCTGGCACAGCTGGACAATGCGATATGAAGGCGACTGGGTCGTTGGTTTACGTGAACAACTAGGAAGCTCGTCGGCGGCCCAGCCGCAGTGCACGAGAGCGTGGGCGCGAGCTACGATGCAGGTGAGGCTGCGCAGCGAACGCGAGACTACGTCGAGCAGCTGTCTGCCCGCATGCCTGCTGCAGCCGGGCGTTGCCGGGCGCGCGGCTCCTCAGGGCCCCGGCTCCACGGCCGCTGTCGCCCGCCACGCGTCCTGCAACATTGACGAGACCCGGTACAATATGAGCGCTGCCCATGGCTGATGCATGAAGTGATGAGAGCGGACACATCGCGATGCGCGCCTGTAAGGACAGCGGGACCACGCACGCCTCTCCAGCTGCCCATTATTATTTTTTCTTTCTGTTGCTCATACAGTGAGAAGACACTTTCCGATATTACGATGGCCAAGTGTCGTTTCATTACCCCGTTTCTCTAGTGGAAAAGTACGACACTGCACTCATGTTGCATATTTCTTGGTAGTCACAGTTGCATAACAATTATATTTCTCAACTGAAACTACCGGCAATTTTTTTCTTGGCATGAATATTTCCGGTTGATAGAACTCCATGAAGTTCAAGAGAACGTATTGGTCACTTTCTGGACGAGTGCTGCTGGAACACCGCCCCTTTATCACCCCGCATTCCGCAATGCAGCGAAGGCCTTGTGGACGTTTACTGCCTTGGTGAAGGCTTTTGAGAATGATGGGCTTTTGTGAACGCCTGCGACTTGTGGCGTAGTACCATACGCGTTAGCGAATTTATTGCCATACCTGACGTGCGTCGCCAAAGCACTCTGAAATGATCGCAAGCATCCAGTCGAATGTGCTTGATGTCTATGCCAAACCGATGCTGCTACCCTATTCAACAGATCATTAAATTAAATTAGTTATACCTAACATTGCGAACATACAGATCTGCTTGCTTACTTGCGGTGATACGTCAAACAAACAAAATTCTCGATAACTAAAATGTTCAGTCATTCCGAGAAGCAAGAGAAAAAACAGATGTGGCTACATAATATGATGTCAGATGCATAAAAATGTTAAAGAAACGCTCGCATCATGAACGATGCTTACGCTGCTCACAAGCCCACTTTGCGGCTCTGGTTTTCGACTCTTGCCGAGGTCAAGAAGCTTGTTTTAGAGTACTTGTTTGCAGCGTGAACTCTACACAAAGAAAACAAGAATTAGGCGCGAAGAAGACACATACGCAGCGCTACTATCAGCGACAATGTTTACTTTTCCAGATCTGATACAACACCCCAAACACAAAAGTGAACAAGGATCACGTAATGCTAACAAAATACATGCGGCAGAAAGTCTCCAATAAAAACGCATCATAACAAATTATGACTGAAGAGAAACGGATTGTCAGCGTTTTCACAGAAAACTATTTTTTTAGTCGACAATTATACTAATGGCTTGCTTACACAGCTATCCCTAAGAGCATCGATATGCTCAGCTTCTACTATGAGGCGTTTGATTTCGTTCTTACGAGGACCAAAAATGATAGTCCTGGTATAGTCTGGCTTACAACCATACGACTAGGTGTGGAAGTGACAGCTTCTTAATTTTGTTGTCGCGCTCTCTTAGCCTCACATTTACACACCTGTTAGTGTGTCCAACGAAGTATTTCCCACGGGAATGCGGGATGCGATAGATGACGAATTCCTTGCATTTTATAAATTTGTGCTGCATTCCACACTCTTTTTTTTCTCGTTAGAAGAATTAGTTTTCGAGCATAGGCTTCCTAGCTTATGGGGCATTGAAAATAACACCCTTATAATTTCTAGCAAGGCCACTCTATTGATATTATGAGACAGTTTATGTATTTAAGAGATAACGGCTGTGTTTCTGTAATCTGGGGTCACTGAAGAATTATTTTGTCCTTGTGCCAACTCGCGCCGCAACCAAGTGCTCTAGCCTGCCTTGGTGGCAGCATTTTGATGGAAGAAAATGCAAGGATACCAGTGTACTTCTATGAAGGAAGAAATGTTATGGGAGGTCAGACGGCAGATAGGTTATCCAGAAAAGCTTCCAATTTGCTACTCTACACTTGAGCATTGACACAGGAAAATACAGAGAAGGATATAAGAGAAACGAATAGCAGTGAATTCACTGAAGCGTGCGGAATCGCAGCCCAATCGAAATGCATTTGAACAAGCCCGTCATCCTCAAGAAGCTCAAAGTTGCCTTCGCTGTCATGTGTGCACACATGACAGCGAAGGCTGTCATGGATCTATCACCTACGACTTTCAGCTCTCCTGACCGTTTCGATAATCATGTCGATACCAAAATTACTATGCCGTAACATCACTGTATGACGAGCACAAGTGACTAGTCATAACATGAAAATCATGAAATGTATGTCATGAATGTCATGATTTGCATTTCGTGCGCTTGCTCCTTATTCGGTGGTTTCGTTGACATGACTTTGCAAAATTGGTACGGTGTGACATCACTGCATGGCAGGCCCTCACGTGGAAATCATGACATGCATGCCATGTAAATCATGACTACACGCCACGTTCACGGTGCACTCGCGGTCATTTGGCAAGGCTCACATATACTAAATTTGGTATTATGGGACTTGAATAGATGACTAAGGTTTTTTACTGGTGCAAACATGATAACCACGACATGAGTATCATGTAAGAACATGACAACATACCACGCTCAAGAAGCGCTCGTGGCCATTTCACTAGCTCCACATATATAGAATTTAATATCACGTGACGTGAAGAGACACCAAAGGTAAATGACTCGTCCAAACATGATAATCATGACATGCGTGTCATGTAAAATTTGACCACACGCTACGCTCATAGCGCGCTCGCAGCCGTTTCACTAGCTTCACATATACCAAATTTGGTATCACGTGACGTGAACAGACGACGAAGATAAATGACACGTTGAAACATGATAATCATGACATGGATATCATGCACAGTATAATTTGTGGCCGCCTCGTAACGTTGTGCCGATTTTTAAGTAACATGTTAACCTTCCTGATTTGTGCTTTGCATATCATCGATGCTCACTGTACGTGGGATCTGCCTTTTTTTTTTCTAGACCCTGATGTCAAACGATAGCCTTGTACACTTTCCTCTCAGGGTAGATTCACGGCTTTTGCATCTACTAGCTTATCTTTTCGCTTTGATTGCTACACAAGTCCAAAAAAATGCGCATGACACAGCGCCTATCCGCTCCTGCCGGCAAGTAATTTCCGGCTGTTGAACGGGCATGGCAACGGGTGGGGATGCTGATCTTTCGTTGAAGTGTTGTCGTTCACGGCTTTTACAGTGGGCAGCTCTTGCTGCGATACTGCATTCCGTGTAATGACTGTCACCTTGCAGGGCTCTGCGCATATACACGGCGAAACATACATAATTATTGGTGAAGCGTTTAGCGTCGCATGTCCGACTCTTTGTTACTTTTAACTACTCAGCTTTTAAGGAGCAAACATAACCAATGTTTTCGGCCAAATAAGTGGTCATGCTTACAAGCACATCTAACGTGAATCAGTTTAACGTGAACTGGCAACCCATAAGTAGAGCGCATTCGGTTGTGCGCGGATATAGGTATGTAAACTGTGTTGCTAGAAATATTAGGACAGTTTGCATTTCAATCACGTGCGATTCCCTATAACTTCAAATCAGTGCACAACACACTTAGAGTAAAAAAATACTTCTTGGTATTTCTTTAAAATTACTGCAGTTGCCGAATGCAATGCAGGCATGACTGACGAAGGCAACAGCCCTTGTCAAAATGTTGTTCCGAGCGACATTTCTTGTTCAAACATTTTGTATGATACGAACGCAACGCGATAGATGATTCTACTGCTAAATATTGTGGTGGCACCGTGACAGGCTAAACTTCTCCGACGACTCGTGCTGTTAGGAAGCAATAAGTTCAATATATTTGGCTGCCTTGGTTACATGCATTGCACGAAAATCAGTCTCTTTAAAAATTTAACCACACGAACCTTATAGTAAAATAAAACGAAATGAAACTGCCTCTGACCATGACTATCTTCGAGTTCCCACTACTAATAAATGCTGGATTCTAAACTAAAAAAATGATGATTATCAAATTACAGATAATTGTATAAGTTTCTGAGCGTAATTTTCTATACAGAGCGCCTCCACGAAAGGGCATCAAGCATTCAAGCGAACCACATTTGTCCAACTATCTTAGCATAGTAGTTTTTCTCGGGAACTAGAGCATTTTTTTCTCGAGCGCCTAGGTATCCCAGTTAAACTAAGTGGACGAAAACCTCTTTGCAGGATTTATGTGCGAGATGGTTTAGTTCCATAGCCTTCCAATGTTCTAATTCGTAGGACATACGGATGTCATCAAAATGTCTGTGAAAGGTGCTGCCACAACTCTTTTTTGCTCATTGTGCTGAGATGTTAACCTCTTGAAATTGTGTACCTAAAAGAATTGAAGCACAGTGATTCTGCCCCAAATATATATTTTACCTCGGACAACGTCCGTTCGGAATGCTGGGTTCTGGAAACCCGTCGTGGGGCTGCAGCTCCGGCTGTGGCATAGGGCTCCGTTCTGGGCTCCTTCCTGAACCAAAGGCTCTAAGGACATTCGAGCCTGCAAGCGAAAGTGAAACACTCCATTAAAAAAGGTCAGGCATGTCGCAGCGTTTAAATTTTGTTTAACTCGGTGAAGTTGTCTACCACCCTATGCAACACTCTACGGGAAAATTTTTTGCGATGTTTACTCAGAGTAAATCGGCCCCACTTTCTGTCTGTCTCAGTGTGAACAAAGGAGGTTTTTTTTTTTTTCCTTTACCACAGTATAGCGAACACTGGGGAGCTAGCAGAACACGCGACCTGTAGGTTACAGAGTAGCTAGCTTTTGTGGTTATGTACTGGTTATGTATAGACACTACACAAGCTGTCATGTCAACACCACGCTGAACGTTCGGATTGTGGAACGTCAGATCACGGCGTAGATTTAGAGATAACTTTCAATGATATTCCCAGTGATGTCAGCCGACTTTATCGTCTGGCTTGCTACTCCAGGTGTCAATTGATGACTTTAATATGCACAGTGATGATGACATACGGTCACAAGATAATTATACACACAGTAGATCATTCTGCAGAACTCTCAATGCGACGAAAAAACATCGGGACGTGTTGTGTTGAGCAATTTACGATGTTTGGTTCTGAAGAGAGCGCACTTTTTATTTCGATGAACGAAATTAAAATTAACTTCTGTAATGAGTTTAGAGCGCGGGAAAGACGAGAGACAAACAACCCATTTCACGCACGCGAAGCATGGTATCTACACAAGGATACACAGCACGTGCCAAAAGAGCCGCAAAACGAACAAAAGTTATGCGGGAAAGCGGTTTGGCATTCACATGTTTCTTTTTTTTTTTTCTGCATCTCACCGTCTCTAGCGTCATTCGGTCGTATTATGCAGGCCACAGGACACATCAGTAGGCCAGTGATGTTAAGTGCAGGGAATGTGTCTTTTCGGGGAATTTTCGGCTGTCATTTTGAACCAAAGGAAAAAAATGTTCGTGATATTGAAGGAAATTTCAGAAATGTTTAAAGTCTCCTATGACAACCGATAATTAGCGGTCACAGTGCACCATCACCTGCTGTAATCAGTTCTGGCGCTTGCACCACGCAAGCATCGCCTTTCAGATTTGTTTCTGATATTTACGCAGAGTGGTTTCTAGTTGATTATTGGTGTTAGACTTGAAGCCCACAATGTGCAGCGTACTAACAGTATATTAATTATTGAACTCATGCTTTTGTTGTGCGGCAGTGAAGAGGCTAGTCATGATTTCAAATGTCACCAGAACGTCAGACACATGCAATTATTGTATGAGTATGCGTGGATGAGGGCGGAAATTAGTAACTGTTGTGCAGAGAATTTGGCAGGGAATTTCATCAACGTTTGCAGGGAATAATCTCCAAAACAGGGAATTTTCAAGTCTGTGTATGGGAATTCTTCGGCGTAGTATGGAACATCACTGCAGCCCCGCCGCGGTGCTCTAGTGGCTAAGGTACTCGGCTGCTGACCCGCAGGTCGTGGGTTCGAATCCCGGCTGCGGCAGCTGCATTTCCAATGGAGGCGGAAATATTGTAGGCCCGTGTGCTCAGATTTGAATGCACATTAAAGATCCCCAGTTGGTCGAAATTTCCGGAGCTCTCCCCTACGACGTCTTTCATCCTTGATCATATGGTGGTTTTGGGACGTTAAACCCCTCATATCAATCAATCAACATCACTGCAGTAGGCAGGGGAATGTGTCACTAGCAGCTCGTTTATCAAGCGCTCCTCAGTAGTCGTTTATCAGATGTTACTATCTCACGAACAAAGGCACACGCAATGGGGTGTGGCTGGGAAGGGGAGGGGGGCAAAATTGTTTCATTTTCGCCTTTATTCTAAAATATCAGGAGACTAGGGGACTAAAAGCAGGCCATTGTGAGGAGAACGTCATTGCTTCATTTTTATTTTAGTTTTACATGCACTGCGACGCTGGTTTTCTTTTGCACGCGCCCGAGGGGGGGGGGGGGGGGGGTCTGTTTTTCTTCAAAATCTTATTGTATATCCTGTGCACGACACGAATGCGATAACCTGGCTATTCCTACGGCGGTACAGGGAGGCCGAGCCTCCTGGCCACTATCGCGGGCATACTGAACAACCAGAACTTGATTGTGATAAGTTGGTGATTTGATTACCCTTCGAGATACTAGTCTCTTATGAACCGCAGTTCCAGAGAATTTGACCTAACGGGCACATACTTGCTTCGCAAGCTTCGCACGTAGCTTCTATTTCTTCTGCTCCGTACCACTTCCTGATATAAACCGGTGAACGATTTTGTCTGTAGTTGTCTTAGCGTTGTGACTACACTGCAGACGTAGCTAATTAGCGCAAGAAACAACGAATATAGTAAGAACGACAGACAGGACGGATAAGGTAAAGGCTACCATATTTACCTTGTCCGTTGTTTTTTGCGCTAATTAGCTATGTCTGCAGTTAATACGCACCAAATAGCCTAACTCGCTTACTAATACTCCTAAGTTATGACAAGCTCAGTTCAGATATGTGCGTGGGGACGCGGATAAACTCTTGTCCATAAGTAGCATTGTTTAGTGAGTTATTTGCATGTGGCCAGTTTTTCTTTGTGTCGTGGCATCAATCCTGCAAAGTCTGGGCCATCTGAATAAGCACACTGGTCAGTTAGATCGTCGCTACAATAAAACTTGCACTCCCCCCAATTGACAACTCTGCGCACGGTTATATCTGTGAACATACTAAAATGGGCCAAACAGGACGAAGTATACTAATGCACGCCAAACATCGAAATTCATCAAATAGCAGGCCAATTTCTAATCGTGCATCGCGTTGCCACTCATGCCATAGAGAACCCGTGCTCGAACGCACCGCTACTTTGTCACAGCACTTGTCGCAAGCGCCAACATCGGCGTTGCGGTCTTATAATGGCTCGGAGTGGCCGAACCCACGAGGTAGGTTTCCCACTAAGATGAGAGCCTAAAAAGGGCGTGCAAATACTCCCAAAATTTCGCGTCATCAAAACAACCAGCAAAATTCATTTCCGCCAGAACGACTCGCGTATATCTTCCTGGGACACACGTGAACGGACGGGACGGTGTAGCTGGCTGCCGCGAAAGCGCGCGTCAAATCTTTGGCTTTGCTCGCTACTAGATTCTTTGGACAGGAACACCAAAACGTTTCAAGCCTTTTTTTTTTTTTTTACGTCTTACTGCCTTTAATCTAGCGCTGCGTTAACCACGTGCCCTCGGAACTCGTAGATCGTTATCGCGCCGCCACGACCGTGGTTTTGTGCATGGCGGCTGCGGCAAACTGCAGTTCCGTTTTCAATCCTTGTGCGTTAACTGCGCACGTGCCTTCAAAACTAAGTCGTTTTATGCTATCTATGATCGCATCTGCCGCGGTATTCCCCACACAGTTTGCGAAAAGAAGCGTTGCTTTGACTGATCGATCGTCGGGCGCGCACACATTTTCGGAGCACTGTCACTAACGTCGTCGCCATACATGATCGTGTCAAGAACGACCGCGGTTTCGACCACAGCGGCTGTGGCAACGACGTTCACTATATAATACAATGCTGGTCACAAGCGTACTTCAGAAGCTCCGAGCAGGCACTCGGCATTCGTTCCGACGGTTTCAGTACTGCAGTTCAGATCACACGCCACGTTTTGGAAAAGGGTTGGGAACATTCGAATTTCGGCGCAGTGGACACAGTGGAATTTTGCTGGGGAATTGAACTAATTCATATCTGCGGTGGTTTCACATCAAGTTTAGATGAACACCTCATAAATTTGTTTATAATAAAACGCGGTGGGTTCACAAAAAACCCGGAGTGTACTGACCTGCATTTTTGTCAATGCTACCAGATAACGCTTATAATTTTCGATTTCCGGAAGATCTTCATGACAACCATGCAAAGTGAAGAAACGGTCGAAATTCGGGAGTCTCTCTTACGATCCGAGAGACTTGGCAGATATGTTACTTTAAAATAAGTTACCACTGCTTTCCCGAACATTTTTTATTTCCGGGAACGTTAGGCCAGAGCATTCCCTCACGGTCCCCGTTCGCACGGTATATATATATATATATATATATATATATATATATATTATATATAATATATATATATAATATATATATATATATATATATATATATATATATATATATATATATATATATATATATCCCGCAAGCTACCGAAATGGCCGCGAATACTGCTCTGCACGGAATACACTCTGTCATAAGTATGAGAGCGTGGATGGACTCAACCCAGAAATACTATATATCGCTGGACCAAACGTCGAGTGTTGGAAAGCCCAGTTGACAAGCTGAATCCTTGAAGACCAGCGGTGTCCGGTGAAGAGTGTCAAGCTGTCAGTTAAAACCCACGGCGTCTTTGACTTTTCCACCTTGAACGACTCTGCCGGCGGCTCGCTCCTCTGAATAATGCTTATTCCTCTTCGTTTGCAGGAACTTTCCGTCATGGGCTGACTGCATTCGCTAATATTTTATTATTGTTAATAATACGCCTTATTAATATCCAGAAATTCTGGGAGCATGCACTGACTAGCGTCTTGACGACCAACCTATACTTCACGCTGACCCGAAGGTTACGGGATCGAATTCCGGCCGCTGAGGCCCCATTTTTGATGCAAGCGAAAATGCTTGAGACCCGCGCACTTGAATTTACGTGCTCCTTAAAGAACCCCAGGAGGTGAAAATTTCAGCACACCTTCAACACAGCGTCTCACATAATCAAATCGTGGCTTTGAGATGTTGAACCCCAACAATTATTAATAACGATGTACTCTACCATTTCAAATTTTTGTATCACATATTATGTCCTAATTACTAGTCACAATAATTAAATTTCTCTTCAGACTCCACGCTTTTCGATAAATGATTGAAAAATAGTGATCTGTGATAGCAAGTATTCATTCGCATAGTGCGGCTGTGGCCACTCTACAGCAAAGTGACTAATCCGCGTGCTTTTTATTTTTATTTTTCTATCAAAGAATAATCAAACACTTAGGATAATTATTGTGATTGTGC